CAATGGAAGGTACAGTACTTTTCTCCTTCCAAGGGCTGGTTTGCCTATTTTTTCTTGCGTCGGTTCATTAGGTAGATGTTAAGATGCCAAATATTTAATGGTGCCGACCACAGCAAAGTGGCCAAATAAAAGGACTAAAGTTGTCCCAAAATTGAAGTCACTAACAACCCATTGAAGTTGCCATCTTTCTCACTGAGATTGAAATCCACAAGTTGCACATCTACATAATATGGTGGTACTCAATGGCCTAAGCTCCACCAAGATTGAGGTTGGAAGGACCCAAATGGGGTCAAATGACCCCACATTTTTTTGTCGTTTCTTTCACCACTTACTTTGACGCTCATTAAGGAATGTCAAACGAAATCGAAATATTGCATTATTAATATCATTTCGAAGTATTCACATAATAGTTTTTCACTCATTAATGGCGTGTAGAACGCCTAATTGCAGCAAAAGTTATGGCATGTCAAAATATGCTGTTCCAAACTAGTATTTCAAGAATTTCAATAATATGTTAACTTTAAAAACTTGCTGACAATCGTACTCTAGCTGAATTTACAAATTGCCCACATCACTTAGAAGCTCATTTAATTTTGAGAACTACATTGTAATCATATCGACTGGTTAAAATGGATATTGAAAATAGTTAAATGTGCATCAAACATATGTCTTTAAAAAAGACGTCTATCTTTCTTTTAAGAATTTCTAATTATTTCATTAACATTTATTATCTTTGCACAACAAATTCTCAATATGATTTATATCATTTTGTCAGCAAATTTTACATGGAGTGTGACATAAAATTTTTTAGAATCATTATAGATTAAATGCAATCTAAATTACTTTCGAACTAAATTTGAATTTCATTTACTTTCTAGATTGAATTTGAATTTTATTTCAATATATTTACTTCCTACATTCAGCTTGATTTACTACCCATCGGATCAACATTTGTCAATGAAGTGGTAAACAAAATTATACAAGTAGTAAAATTCATTTGACGATATTGATAATGTCATAATTATATGACATTTTCAAACTATCAGGATGTGTAGATTACAATTGTAGTAGTGTATTGAATTATTTTTATTAATATTATTTTATTTAAAAAAATTACATTTTAATTTTTGACCCCACAAGACAAAAGGTCTGGGTCCGTCCATACTTTTCCCCACTCTTTTAGGGCTCCGCCGACACCTTCTTCTCTTACAATGGGTATTTAGTATCAGAGTCTATTAAGCTTAAATGAACAATTCGATCAAATTAGGATTAAAAACGAGCACACGCATTCCGAAATTAGTGTGCTATAAGCCTGCATGGGCATGTTAAGGATAAATATCCAACGATGAATAAAAGATGAAATAAATATATAACATATAAAAGTTTGTTTTACTCCTCTTAACAAAATTTTACTTTTAAGATGGAACTCGTATCTCAAAAGGATGAAGGACGAGACTGGAGCGTATAGATAGTTTGTGCAATTGAGAATTTATGTGAATTTCAAGTGGGAAAAATTGCATGGACTTGGTCCTTTACAATAGGTCATATTGATGAAAGACCTTCCGTTATAGTTGTACAAGTCATCCCATGGACAACTGTTCAGATCTTCGTGAACAGACCTGCTACCGTCTTGAAAAAGTAATCTGAATTTTTTTGCACTAGTCCAAGTCAGGAAATAAAACGGCTTTCGCGTAACATCTATTTTGAGGGTTTTTAGCCATTCAGACTGACAGTTCTACTATAATGGAATGTTGAGGATCGACTTGCTATTTGGACAGCAAGTTTAGTTCTCAGGTAGTTAGGTATGCAATCCTGAAAGAACAGGAAGCTAATTTACATTGAGTGAAGTTCAAAATGCACAATATAAGGTGAAATATGATACACTATAATACACTCAAAGCTAGGAATCCATCCAATAAATGGTGCGGCATTGAGAATAAACACGAAAATTTTGATTTTTTTTCAACCTATGCCAAAGGTTAAACCATAATAACTACATACGGAAGACTAATATGATCGCTATCCTTTCTAACGTAGAAAATATGTGTAGGGTGTATATTGATCACCAAAGTTGGCCCAAGCTCAGTTTATTTCCACCAATACACCACAACCGGACAGCCAAATGACCCGAGACAAAACCAAGCTTCCACTTTCGGTTGCCAAGGAGATAACCCACCTAGAACACCACAAAGGTGGCAAAGAAGTAGAAGAAATCACAGAAGTTGAGTGTTCAGAGAGAAAGAGAGAGAGGCGAAACGTTGTCTTGCAAATAAAGGGAGAGACCCAATGTATTAAATCAAGCGGCCCAAATAAGATAAGTAACACTAGGGTAGCAAGTGGATCAAGTAGAGGTCAATAAGTAGACAAATGGGCTGCCAAGTAAATTCTCTCATTGTTGATCATCCAAAAAAGTGGGTTGGGCCATGAGCAACACTAAAATATTTAGGTTGCTTCAAATGACCCAATTAACATTTGGGTCATGTTTTCTTGATTGTGGTATTACAATTTTTCGTTAAGTCATTTGGCTAAGTCGACTAAAGATTAAAATCAAATAAAATCATAGTTCGGGGAGGTCGTTTGACAACAAATTGCCTAACAATACGGGAAAAAAAAGTAGAACGATGAATATATAAAATGACTTTCATGATCTTACAGACCTTTATTGACTTGGTGACTAATATGCACTCGAAAAAATTGGTCGAACTAACCAAAATGTAGTGAAGTATACAAGCTATGTACAATGGTGACGTTTCACATCCATTCTTTTGCTGTCGTTGATCCTTTTCGTTGACTGATTTGCTCTCCAATCGAGTCAAGACCAACTAGAAGGAAGGTCACTCGTTGGAAAAGTAGAGAGTAGAAATGAAGTCCTTGAGCTAATAAAAGGCTTCTGAATGAAGGAGTACTATCATACAGTAGCCAAGTTGAAGGAACGACTTGTTTGTAACATATTGATGAGTTCAAATCTCACTTTCAACCTTGAATAAAAAATAGTTCTCAATTTTTACGATGGCATGGACTCCGTGCTCTTGGTGTATGCGTGACGTTCTATACCGTCCATAGTTTGCGGGCAATTCATCTCTATGCATTTTGGATTGTCGTCCCTGGAGATTGCACCTAGTGCTAGGCTTTTGTTGTGGTTCCCGCTTGGATGCTAAAATGGACTCACAGTATCCACATCTCCGGTCTAATACCGACCTAGATTTTCCTTGACTGTGGTGGGTTTTGAAGTGTCTGTCAAGGGCGCCACGGGGGTGATCATCAACAATGCACTGTAGTAAATAAAAATGATATTGTCACTTGATGTACATTTAACTTGGCATATAATATTCATTAATGCTTTGAGAAAGAGAAAATGATAATAAAAAAAATAAAAAAAGGGGCAAAAAAGAAAATTAGCCATTTATTAACAATCATGCCATGTTGACAAAAAGTTTGACACTCTTTCTGACAGCACACTTACAATAGGGGGGTGGGAAGTATTTTTTGACATTTTTATTCACGCGGATCCCACATAAATATGAGTGTTGATCAATGATTTTGTCAACCCCTATCTGACAACTCAACTTAATTCATTTGTTAAAGTAGATTGAGATTTAAGAGTTCTTTGTTATTCAGTATACAGTGCTGCAATTTTTACAGTTTGGCATTTATGTTCTGAGGAATTTTGCAGCAAGTACAACTGCTTTTGTGACATGTCTTTTTCTCTGTAGAGTTAATATATTTTAATTATAAAAAATTGTTGAATCTTAGTACTCATGTGATTTCTTAAGACCGTGCTACATAAATATAGGGGTTGACACAACGATTGACATAGCACACACATGGGGAGGTCGGCATTATTTTATTCGCGCGACACTCATGCCTCGGTTGTGAGTGTGGTGTCATTCTTTGTGTCAAACATTATGTTCATTTCGTATTTCCTTTGACAAAAGATATTTTTTAGCTTTATTTTTTATTTTATTTTATTTTCTTTGAAAAGGCAATATGGCAGAATCTCATGTATCTGTCAAATTGGACCGTCGGAATTAATAGGTCAATAATTATTATAGATTGAATGTTAGGTTCTCTTTTGCTACGGTTTAAAGATTAAAAAATTAGATGATTGTCACAAATATTTCATATAAAGAAATGATTGTCCTTGGCAGTCTATGATTTTCATTTTTTTTTTCCAATTTTTTGGAGTGTTTGACGTTAGTATTTTTGTCTTGTTATACGTTCTTTGAATAAGGATCCTAGGGACAATCGAGGAACTAAGAAATTGGTCTTAATTCATAACGATGTATTGGACTGTCAGGTCGTTCAAAGGGTTGGAGTACAGAGGTGACATGAAGGAATTTAATGGAAGAATAATTTTAGCTTGCAGCAAGTACTAGCCAACGATGGTTGATTCAGCCTGAGATGCAAAAGGATTTTAAAGAAAAACCAATCCATGATTTCATTAAGTATGAACAATCAGGTCACGTTTAGGAAAATTGACCAACTGAGGGAGCCGGGTTAGACATTGTGAATCAGTTCATCTTTCTTCATGAAAGATGATGATACCATTTGAACAAAGATATGTATGTCCTCGTGTGAGGTAGCTATAGTTGTTATGATAGGGAATGTGTTACTGTTATCAAGTTGACGTTTGAACACGGACATTGGTTTTGCATTTCTGCAAAGTAATTGTTGGAATTAATGTCGAAAACTAATGAGCTCTCAAGAATACCAAACATGAGAATCACACCATAATTTTGGAATTTTTCACGTAAGCATGCATTGATTTTATCAAAGTATTTTAATTTTTTAATATTTTCTTTGCAAAAATTTATTTTTCTTTCAAATTTCTAGAATAAGATGTATGTATTACATGACTATTTCACCCAAACTCGCTTCTTGATACAACACTAAGGGCCCGTTTGGTAAGACTTTTGAAAATTCAAAAGCTTCTTTTGAGATCATAAAGTTGTTTTTAGACGTGTTTGGTAGGACCCATCATGAAAATAAGATCAAGAAAGTTGTCTCGACTATCAATCTTTACTAAATAAATCACCTTGGAACAAGAATCCCGTGCAATACGTGACAAGTAGATCAAACCAACATCAAAGAAATGAACAGTATCAGCAATGCAAGCAGCAAAGAAACCACAGCAAAGTGGCCAAATAAAAGGACTAAAGTTGTCCCAAAATTGATGTCACTAACAGCCCATTGAACTTGCCATCTTTCTTCACTGAGATTGAAATCCACAAGTTGCATACCTACATAATTTTGGTGGTCCTCGACTGCCTGAGCTTGATCAATATTGAGGTTGTTTTCCCCACTCTTTTAGGGCTCTGCCGACACCTTCTCCTCTCACAAGCATGCTGAGGTGGTAGAGATGGGTATATAGTATCAGAGTCTATTAAGTTTAGATGAATAATTTGATTAGATTAAGATTAAAAAACGAGCATACGCATTCCAAAATTAGTATGCTATAGGCCTCCAACAAGTTACCATCTTGTATGTGCATGTCAAGGATAAATATCCAACGTTGAATAAAAGATGAAATAAACATATAACATATAAATGTTTGTGTTACTCCTCTTAACAAAATTTGACTTTTAAGATGAAACTCCTATCTCAAAAAGGATGAGGGGCGAGACTGGAGCGTATAGATAGTTTATGCAATTGAGAATTTATGTGAATTTCAAGTAGGGAAAATTGCATCGACTTGGTCCTTTACAATAGATCATTTTGATGAACGAACTTCCATTATAGTTGTACAAGTCGTCCCATGGACAACTGTTCAAATCTTCGTTAACAGTCCTGCTGCCGTCTGGAAAAAATAATCTGAATTTTTAGTCAGGAAATAAAATGGCTTGCGCGTAACATGTATGTTGAGGGTTTTAGTCATTGAGACTGACTGTGACACTATAATGGAATGTTGAGGATCTACTTGCTATTTGGGCAACAAGTTCAGTTCTCAGGTATGCAATCCTGAAAAAACAGGAAGCTAATTTACATTGAATCAAGTTCAAAATGCACAGTATAAGGTGAAATATGATACACCATAATACACTCAAAGCTAGGAATCCATACAATAAATGGTGCATCATTGAGAATAAACAGGAAAATTTTGATTTTCTTCAACCTATACCAAATGTTAACCATAATAACTACATCTGGAAGACTACTGTGATTGCTATCCTATCCAACATAGAAAATATGGAAAAAAAGAAAAAGAAAAAAGGAAGTAGAACGATAAATATATAAAATGACTTTCATGATCTCGCAAACTTTTATTGACTTGGTGACTGATATGCACTCAAAAAGATTGGTTGAACTAACCAATATGTGGCGAAGTATACAAGCTATGTTCAATGGTAACGTCCCTCACAAAGCTCTAGGGGCGGGGCGGTGGGAGCTCTCAAGGTTGGAGTTCAACCTTTACGTTCAATGGAAATGTTTCACGTCCAGTCTTTTGCTGTCATTGATCCTTTTTGTTAACTGATTTGCTCTCCAATCAAGTCAAGGCCAACCAGAAGGAAGGTCACTCCTTGGAAAAGCAGAAAGTAGAAATGGAGTCCTTGAGCAGATAAAAGGCTTCTGACTGAAGCTGTAAGCAAGAGGAAAGAAAGGGCTAGCTCTTTTCTGTATATCTTATTGCTTTTCTTAACCGGTCGAGGCTTTTGTTCTTTCAATGGGGTCAACTCTGAAAGATCACTTTCAGAAGCACCTCGGATGATCTGTCGTTGTAACATTGATTTCATATCCTTGTCAACAACAGCCAGTAAATCGGATTCCGAAGATCTGCCTGCTTTTTTTGTCACAATCCACTCGTATGAACTGCCCAACTGGAAGAGTCCCGATACCATTGCGTTGAATTTTGTTACAGACATGGTGTTTTCGAAAAGTAGGTAAGGGGCGATGAACGGAATGGATTTTGGTGCCGGGAGAACGTTAAGTAATGTCATAAGAATCGGCACGTAGCAAATAACCCACATGGGAAGCTCGGCTTCAGGGATAAACATGGTTAAAGGAAGAATTACGCAAAATAATGTGAAAGAATAGAAAGGAAGGATCAGTTTTCTCAACAAGAAGAAGAGAAATAATAAGTTTGCTTTCTTCCATATTGATATCTGCAAAATGTTTTTTATTAATTACCATTAACGATATTTCCATCTCGAAACTATTTAAAAGGATATATGCAAGCACGAAATGTACCTTCGAAGTTATGACAGACGGCAGACACAGCGAAGAGGCTCCAGGTAGGGGGTTGTGTTGGTTCTATGATCGCCTCCATTTTTGGAGCTTTGGCAAACTCTGCTACAAAATCTGCGAGGGCTTGTCCCTTGATGGCACTTCAAGGCTTGAAAAGTAGATCGGACTCGCTGAGCTCAATTGTCCATTTTAATAGGCGACCTAAAGCGTCTATCTTTTGTAGTACTTGTTTGAGCGAAAAATTGATTAGAACTTCAATGGAGTGAGCCTGGAAGTATGGCCTCAATTTATTTGATGCAGTAATGAGGAAAAGAGTGAGCTTCTCCATGTTTGGGTAGCGAGCTTCGGCTGGCAGTAAGGCCTTGCTAATGTCGTATACTAGTAGCTGACATGTCTCCTCTTCTCTGACGAGGACTGCTCTGACTGCCTCCTCTGAGACTGCCAAATACAGTAGAAGGGACTCAAACGATTTAGGCTTTGACAATAGGGTGCCTTTCCCAAGGGCTTCTTCAGTGCCTAGAAGGTTAGTTCGTATTCTTCTGTCCATTGAAAATTGTTCCCTTGCTTCAAAATATTGAAGAAGGGTAAACTTTTGTCTGTGGCCTTAGAGATGAAGCGGCTGAATGCAGTGATTCGCCCGTTAAGGCTTTGCACCTCTTTCGATTTCTAAGGTGATCTCATTTCTAACAATACTTCTATTTTTTAGGGTTTGCTTCAATTCCCCTTTAATTGATAATGTAACCTAAAAATTGACCCTATGCTACTCCAAAGGTGCACTTCAGTGGGTTCAACTTCACTTTGTATTTTCTCAGAATTTGAAATGTGTTGTCGAGGTGACTTTCATGATCCCTTGCATTGAGGCTTTTCACTAGCATATTGTCTACATAAACTTCCATGGTTTTGCCAAAGAGTAAGCAAACATCATATTGATAAGCCTCTCGTAGGTGGCGTTTGCGTTCTTTAATCTGAAGGGCATTACCTTGTATCAGTACAACCCTCTACGGGTGATGAATGAGGTGGCCTCTTCATCAACTTGGAACATTGGGATCTGGTTATACCCTGAGTATGCGTCCATGAAGATAAGGAGTTCATGTCCGGCCATGGAGTCTACAAGTTGGTCTATCCTTGGGGGATGGAAGGTGTCCTTTAGGCAGGCTCTGTTCAAGTTCGTGAAGTCAACATATACCCTCCACTTTTCGTTAGGTTTCTTTATTAGGATGGGGTTGGATACCCATTTCGGGTAGATGGCCTCTTTGATGAAGCCATTGCGACTCAGTTTATCAACTTCCTCTTTGAGCATCTCATATCTCTCCGGGTTGAGGGCTTGTCCCTTTTGCCGATATGTGCATAGGTGGGGTTGATGTTCAAGTGATGACAGCTGACCCTTATGTCTATTCCCACCATATCCTCATGTTTCCATACGAAGACGTCCAAGTTTTTTTGTAGGAAGTCCATTAATTCCTTTTTGATCTCATGTGGTAGTGCTTTTCTTAGCTGTAAGACCTGAGTGGGGTCTTGATGGTTTGTAGGAAAGGTTTCTAGTTTCTCCATTGGGGTTGCATTCGACTCGGGATCAATAACTGAGGATCCAATTCATCTAGAGGTGTCATTCTTCAGGGGTCTCGACCATGTTGACGTCTCTCTCATGTTTAAAGTTATGCCCTTGTTCAGAGATGTCGAGCATTTCTATATCCACACTGGTTTCGTCTGCAATATCGGTTATGATGATATTTACAATACGGGCCTCAGACTTTCGAAATGAGTTGAGGTAGCATTCTCTTGAGCCCATTTGGTCACCTCGAACTGTAGCAATCTCATGCTCAATTAGGAACTTCATACATAAGTGGTGAATCGAGGTGATTGCCAAAGCTCTTTTAGAGCAGGTCAACCTAGTACTGCTTGGTAAGCTGATCTATGGTCTAACACCAAGAATTTCATGAAGTGGTGGGCCACTAGGGGACTGACCCCATCTCAATAGCCAATGTTATCTGTCCTCGTGGGACGATGCTGTCACTAGTGAATCTATATAGTAGGTCAGTCATAGGGATTAAGCCATGCACAATTTGCATTTTATCAAAAGTTGAACTAAATAGTATGTTCATCGAACTTCCATTGTCAAAAAGCACGCGCTTCAGTCCGTTCTAAGCTACTATGGCTCTTACTACCAATGCATCACAATGAGGGTGCTGTACACCTCGTGCATCGACTTGGGAAAAAGTAATTGGTGCCACCCTATTAGCTTCGTAGCATTGGTTGACAACATTGTTGGTCTTTGGAGGGTCCTTTACCTCCCTAGCATAGTTCCTCTATGTGTTTCGAGTGTTGTCCCCGACATGAGGGTCTCCTATGATTGTGTCTATCTCACGGATTGGCTCACCTTCTGTTGGACCCTGATTTTTCTGCCTGGATTTCCCTCGAGTTCTATTTTCTATTTTTCTGTTCCAAGGTATATGGTCCCTCTGTCACCTCGCATCTCTGTTGGACGAGGTGGACTACCGATGATATTCATGATACTGGTCCCCTAGAGGAGCGGGGGTTACTTTTTTGTGAGGATTGAGGAGCATCCCTGCATTCGCTGGTGTCATCACCGTAGAAACAATGGAAGGTACAGTACTTTTCTCCTTCCAAGGGCTGGTTTGCCTATTTTTTCTTGCGTCGGTTCATTAGGTAGATGTTAAGATGCCAAATATTTAATGGTGCCGACCACAGCAAAGTGGCCAAATAAAAGGACTAAAGTTGTCCCAAAATTGAAGTCACTAACAACCCATTGAAGTTGCCATCTTTCTCACTGAGATTGAAATCCACAAGTTGCACATCTACATAATATGGTGGTACTCAATGGCCTAAGCTCCACCAAGATTGAGGTTGGAAGGACCCAAATGGGGTCAAATGACCCCACATTTTTTTGTCGTTTCTTTCACCACTTACTTTGACGCTCATTAAGGAATGTCAAACGAAACCGAAATATTGCATTATTAATATCATTTCGAAGTATTCACATAATAGTTTTTCACTCATTAATGGCGTGTAGAACGCCTAATTGCAGCAAAAGTTATGGCATGTCAAAATATGCTGTTCCAAACTAGTATTTCAAGAATTTCAATAATATGTTAACTTTAAAAACTTGCTGACAATCGTACTCTAGCTGAATTTACAAATTGCCCACATCACTTAGAAGCTCATTTAATTTTGAGAACTACATTGTAATCATATCGACTGGTTAAAATGGATATTGAAAATAGTTAAATGTGCATCAAACATATGTCTTTAAAAAAGACGTCTATCTTTCTTTTAAGAATTTCTAATTATTTCATTAACATTTATTATCTTTGCACAACAAATTTCTCAATATGATTTATATCATTTTGTCAGCAAATTTTACATGGAGTGTGACATAAAATTTTTTAGAATCATTATAGATTAAATGCAATCTAAATTACTTTCGAACTAAATTTGAATTTCATTTACTTTCTAGATTGAATTTGAATTTTATTTCAATATATTTACTTCCTACATTCAGCTTGATTTACTACCCATCGGATCAACATTTGTCAATGAAGTGGTAAACAAAATTATACAAGTAGTAAAATTCATTTGACGATATTGATAATGTCATAATTATATGACATTTTCAAACTATCAGGATGTGTAGATTACAATTGTAGTAGTGTATTGAATTATTTTTATTAATATTATTTTATTTAAAAAAATTACATTTTAATTTTTGACCCCACAAGACAAAAGGTCTGGGTCCGTCCATACTTTTCCCCACTCTTTTAGGGCTCCGCCGACACCTTCTTCTCTTACAATGGGTATTTAGTATCAGAGTCTATTAAGCTTAAATGAACAATTCGATCAAATTAGGATTAAAAACGAGCACACGCATTCCGAAATTAGTGTGCTATAAGCCTGCATGGGCATGTTAAGGATAAATATCCAACGATGAATAAAAGATGAAATAAATATATAACATATAAAAGTTTGTTTTACTCCTCTTAACAAAATTTTACTTTTAAGATGGAACTCGTATCTCAAAAGGATGAAGGACGAGACTGGAGCGTATAGATAGTTTGTGCAATTGAGAATTTATGTGAATTTCAAGTGGGAAAAATTGCATGGACTTGGTCCTTTACAATAGGTCATATTGATGAAAGACCTTCCGTTATAGTTGTACAAGTCATCCCATGGACAACTGTTCAGATCTTCGTGAACAGACCTGCTACCGTCTTGAAAAAGTAATCTGAATTTTTTTGCACTAGTCCAAGTCAGGAAATAAAACGGCTTTCGCGTAACATCTATTTTGAGGGTTTTTAGCCATTCAGACTGACAGTTCTACTATAATGGAATGTTGAGGATCGACTTGCTATTTGGACAGCAAGTTTAGTTCTCAGGTAGTTAGGTATGCAATCCTGAAAGAACAGGAAGCTAATTTACATTGAGTGAAGTTCAAAATGCACAATATAAGGTGAAATATGATACACTATAATACACTCAAAGCTAGGAATCCATCCAATAAATGGTGCGGCATTGAGAATAAACACGAAAATTTTGATTTTTTTTCAACCTATGCCAAAGGTTAAACCATAATAACTACATACGGAAGACTAATATGATCGCTATCCTTTCTAACGTAGAAAATATGTGTAGGGTGTATATTGATCACCAAAGTTGGCCCAAGCTCAGTTTATTTCCACCAATACACCACAACCGGACAGCCAAATGACCCGAGACAAAACCAAGCTTCCACTTTCGGTTGCCAAGGAGATAACCCACCTAGAACACCACAAAGGTGGCAAAGAAGTAGAAGAAATCACAGAAGTTGAGTGTTCAGAGAGAAAGAGAGAGAGGCGAAACGTTGTCTTGCAAATAAAGGGAGAGACCCAATGTATTAAATCAAGCGGCCCAAATAAGATAAGTAACACTAGGGTAGCAAGTGGATCAAGTAGAGGTCAATAAGTAGACAAATGGGCTGCCAAGTAAATTCTCTCATTGTTGATCATCCAAAAAAGTGGGTTGGGCCATGAGCAACACTAAAATATTTAGGTTGCTTCAAATGACCCAATTAACATTTGGGTCATGTTTTCTTGATTGTGGTATTACAATTTTTCGTTAAGTCATTTGGCTAAGTCGACTAAAGATTAAAATCAAATAAAATCATAGTTCGGGGAGGTCGTTTGACAACAAATTGCCTAACAATACGGGAAAAAAAAGTAGAACGATGAATATATAAAATGACTTTCATGATCTTACAGACCTTTATTGACTTGGTGACTAATATGCACTCGAAAAAATTGGTCGAACTAACCAAAATGTAGTGAAGTATACAAGCTATGTACAATGGTGACGTTTCACATCCATTCTTTTGCTGTCGTTGATCCTTTTCGTTGACTGATTTGCTCTCCAATCGAGTCAAGACCAACTAGAAGGAAGGTCACTCGTTGGAAAAGTAGAGAGTAGAAATGAAGTCCTTGAGCTAATAAAAGGCTTCTGAATGAAGGAGTACTATCATACAGTAGCCAAGTTGAAGGAACGACTTGTTTGTAACATATTGATGAGTTCAAATCTCACTTTCAACCTTGAATAAAAAATAGTTCTCAATTTTTACGATGGCATGGACTCCGTGCTCTTGGTGTATGCGTGACGTTCTATACCGTCCATAGTTTGCGGGCAATTCATCTCTATGCATTTTGGATTGTCGTCCCTGGAGATTGCACCTAGTGCTAGGCTTTTGTTGTGGTTCCCGCTTGGATGCTAAAATGGACTCACAGTATCCACACCTCCGGTCTAATACCGACCTAGATTTTCCTTGACTGTGGTGGGTTTTGAAGTGTCTGTCAAGGGCGCCACGGGGGTGATCATCAACAATGCACTGTAGTAAATAAAAATGATATTGTCACTTGATGTACATTTAACTTGGCATATAATATTCATTAATGCTTTGAGAAAGAGAAAATGATAATAAAAAAAATAAAAAAAGGGGCAAAAAAGAAAATTAGCCATTTATTAACAATCATGCCATGTTGACAAAAAGTTTGACACTCTTTCTGACAGCACACTTACAATAGGGGGGAGGGAAGCATTTTTTGACATTTTTATTCACGCGGATCCCACATAAATATGAGTGTTGATCAATGATTTTGTCAACCCCTATCTGACAACTCAACTTAATTCATTTGTTAAAGTAGATTGAGATTTAAGAGTTCTTTGTTATTCAGTATACAGTGCTGCAATTTTTACAGTTTGGCATTTATGTTCTGAGGAATTTTGCAGCAAGTACAACTGCTTTTGTGACATGTCTTTTTCTCTGTAGAGTTAATATATTTTAATTATAAAAAATTGTTGAATCTTAGTACTCATGTGATTTCTTAAGACCGTGCTACATAAATATAGGGGTTGACACAACGATTGACATAGCACACACATGGGGAGGTCGGCATTATTTTATTCGCGCGACACTCATGCCTCGGTTGTGAGTGTGGTGTCATTCTTTGTGTCAAACATTATGTTCATTTCGTATTTCCTTTGACAAAAGATATTTTTTAGCTTTATTTTTTATTTTATTTTATTTTCTTTGAAAAGGCAATATGGCAGAATCTCATGTATCTGTCAAATTGGACCGTCGGAATTAATAGGTCAATAATTATTATAGATTGAATGTTAGGTTCTCTTTTGCTACGGTTTAAAGATTAAAAAATTAGATGATTGTCACAAATATTTCATATAAAGAAATGATTGTCCTTGGCAGTCTATGATTTTCATTTTTTTTTTCCAATTTTTTGGAGTGTTTGACGTTAGTATTTTTGTCTTGTTATACGTTCTTTGAATAAGGATCCTAGGGACAATCGAGGAACTAAGAAATTGGTCTTAATTCATAACGATGTATTGGACTGTCAGGTCGTTCAAAGGGTTGGAGTACAGAGGTGACATGAAGGAATTTAATGGAAGAATAATTTTAGCTTGCAGCAAGTACTAGCCAACGATGGTTGATTCAGCCTGAGATGCAAAAGGATTTTAAAGAAAAACCAATCCATGATTTCATTAAGTATGAACAATCAGGTCACGTTTAGGAAAATTGACCAACTGAGGGAGCCGGGTTAGACATTGTGAATCAGTTCATCTTTCTTCATGAAAGATGATGATACCATTTGAACAAAGATATGTATGTCCTCGTGTGAGGTAGCTATAGTTGTTATGATAGGGAATGTGTTACTGTTATCAAGTTGACGTTTGAACACGGACATTGGTTTTGCATTTCTGCAAAGTAATTGTTGGAATTAATGTCGAAAACTAATGAGCTCTCAAGAATACCAAACATGAGAATCACACCATAATTTTGGAATTTTTCACGTAAGCATGCATTGATTTTATCAAAGTATTTTAATTTTTTAATATTTTCTTTGCAAAAATTTATTTTTCTTTCAAATTTCTAGAATAAGATGTATGTATTACATGACTATTTCACCCAAGCTCGCTTCTTGATACAACACTAAGGGACCGTTTGGTAAGACTTTTGAAAATTCAAAAGCTTCTTTTGAGATCATAAAGTTGTTTTTAGACGTGTTTGGTAGGACCCATCATGAAAATAAGATCAAGAAAGTTGTCTCGACTATCAATCTTTACTAAATAAATCACCTTGGAACAAGAATCCCGTGCAATACGTGACAAGTAGATCAAACCAACATCAAAGAAATGAACAGTATCAGCAATGCAAGCAGCAAAGAAACCACAGCAAAGTGGCCAAATAAAAGGACTAAAGTTGTCCCAAAATTGATGTCACTAACAGCCCATTGAACTTGCCATCTTTCTTCACTGAGATTGAAATCCACAAGTTGCATACCTACATAATTTTGGTGGTCCTCGACTGCCTGAGCTCGATCAATATTGAGGTTGTTTTCCCCACTCTTTTAGGGCTCTGCCGACACCTTCTCCTCTCACAAGCATGCTGAGGTGGTAGAGATGGGTATATAGTATCAGAGTCTATTAAGTTTAGATGAATAATTTGATTAGATTAAGATTAAAAAACGAGCATACGCATTCCAAAATTAGTATGCTATAGGCCTCCAACAAGTTACCATCTTGTATGTGCATGTCAAGGATAAATATCCAACGTTGAATAAAAGATGAAATAAACATATAACATATAAATGTTTGTGTTACTCCTCTTAACAAAATTTGACTTTTAAGATGAAACTCCTATCTCAAAAAGGATGAGGGGCGAGACTGGAGCGTATAGATAGTTTATGCAATTGAGAATTTATGTGAATTTCAGGTAGGGAAAGTTGCATCGACTTGGTCCTTTACAATAGATCATTTTGATGAACGAACTTCCATTATAGTTGTACAAGTCGTCCCATGGACAACTGTTCAAATCTTCGTTAACAGTCCTGCTGCCGTCTGGAAAAAATAATCTGAATTTTTAGTCAGGAAATAAAATGGCTTGCGCGTAACATGTATGTTGAGGGTTTTAGTCATTGAGACTGACTGTGACACTATAATGGAATGTTGAGGATCTACTTGCTATTTGGGCAACAAGTTCAGTTCTCAGGTATGCAATCCTGAAAAAACAGGAAGCTAATTTACATTGAATCAAGTTCAAAATGCACAGTATAAGGTGAAATATGATACACCATAATACACTCAAAGCTAGGAATCCATACAATAAATGGTGCATCATTGAGAATAAACAGGAAAATTTTGATTTTCTTCAACCTATACCAAATGTTAACCATAATAACTACATCTGGAAGACTACTGTGATTGCTATCCTATCCAACATAGAAAATATGGAAAAAAAGAAAAAGAAAAAAGGAAGTAGAACGATAAATATATAAAATGACTTTCATGATCTCGCAAACTTTTATTGACTTGGTGACTGATATGCACTCAAAAAGATTGGTTGAACTAACCAATATGTGGCGAAGTATACAAGCTATGTTCAATGGTAACGTCCCTCACAAAGCTCTAGGGGCGGGGCGGTGGGAGCTCTCAAGGTTGGAGTTCAACCTTTACGTTCAATGGAAATGTTTCACGTCCAGTCTTTTGCTGTCATTGATCCTTTTTGTTAACTGATTTGCTCTCCAATCAAGTCAAGGCCAACCAGAAGGAAGGTCACTCCTTGGAAAAGCAGAAAGTAGAAATGGAGTCCTTGAGCGGATAAAAGGCTTCTGACTGAAGCTGTAAGCAAGAGGAAAGAAAGGGCTAGCTCTTTTCTGTATATCTTATTGCTTTTCTTAACCGGTCGAGGCTTTTGTTCTTTCAATGGGGTCAACTCTGAAAGATCACTTTCAGAAGCACCTCGGATGATCTGTCGTTGTAACATTGATTTCATATCCTTGTCAACAACAGCCAGTAAATCGGATTCCGAAGATCTGCCTGCTTTTTTTGTCACAATCCACTCGTATGAACTGCCCAACTGGAAGAGTCCCGATACCATTGCGTTGAATTTTGTTACAGACATGGTGTTTTCGAAAAGTAGGTAAGGGGCGATGAACGGAATGGATTTTGGTGCCGGGAGAACGTTAAGTAATGTCATAAGAATCGGCACGTAGCAAATAACCCACATGGGAAGCTCGGCTTCAGGGATAAACATGGTTAAAGGAAGAATTACGCAAAATAATGTGAAAGAATAGAAAGGAAGGATCAGTTTTCTCAACAAGAAGAAGAGAAATAATAAGTTTGCTTTCTTCCATATTGATATCTGCAAAATGTTTTTTATTAATTACCATTAACGATATTTCCATCTCGAAACTATTTAAAAGGATATATGCAAGCACGAAATGTACCTTCGAAGTTATGACAGACGGCAGACACAGCCGGAAAAGCTGCATAGGACCGGAATGCCAACGATGTTGTTGCTTCCTGTAAGCTTCAAAAGACTCGGGAACTTCGCAAAGGACCTAATTTTATTGCCAGATGAGGTTGGCCATTTGATAAGTTTTTCAATGTTCTAGCAGAAACTTTGCAAATAAAAACTCAAATATAGCCAATTCAACTCATGAAGTATATTCAAATCAAAGAATATAAGTTAATCACTTATTTAAAATGTCAATATTAAATGGAGTAACTTGTTACCTTAACATCATTTAGATATATGAATTTCCAGCCGTTGAGATGTGCACGAACAGCTATGTCCATATCTTCTACGGTTGTACGTTCAAGCCAACCTCCAGATTCTTCCAACGCTTTGATTCTCCAAACACCAGCAGTTCCATTAAAACCAAAGAAATTCAGGAAAACCCCATTAACCTGCTGTTCAATCTCAAAATGATAACACAAGTTTATGTTCTGGAGACGAGTCAACAAGTTTTCGTCCTTATTGACAAATGCCCATCTAGCCTGAACCAATCCTATCTCAGGATTATCCTGCAGCAAAGGAACGAACGTAAGTGTAACAACGACAATACTCATTCCACAAACTTATGACAAATGACAACCAGTATAGATAACCTTAAAATGGGGAACCGTCTGCTTGAGAAAATCTGCGGTTGGTTGGAAATCTGCATCGAATATTGCAACAAATTCATAATCCTTCACATAATCGCAGCTCATTGCAGACTTGAGATTCCCAGCTTTATAACCAGTCCTGATCAAACGATGCCGGTAGATTATGTTAATTCCCTGTTGCCTCCATTTGGAAACCTCAGCCTTAATCAACTTCTGAATGCTTTCATCATCAGAGTCATCAAGAACTTGGATCAGCAAACGGTCTTTTGGCCAATCAAGTTGACATACTGCTGAAATCGACAACTCATATACCTATGCCAAACCAGAGCAAAGGTTCAGCAGAAAGTAAGACAGTGATATGGTACAATAAAATTATTTACATTCTTAACGGAAAATAAATTACTACTGCGAACATCTAATTCAATTTTGACTCCGACTCTCTTTCTCCATCTAAATTTACACTGGTTTTAAAGCAAATCAACGGGTGAGCTCAAGTTTATAACTCCATAAATCATCATCTGTATTGGATACTTTATAAGTATCTTCCTAATAACTTCCGCAAAACACCATGTGCAGAATTGCCAATGACGTTAAAGTGACAAAAATTAGATACCAGAAGACAAAGCACCAGAAATCGAAATAGAAAATTTGAGGAAAAAATATAGTACCTCCCACTCATTACACATTGGGATTTGGACAAGAACCATAGGGTAATTGTGAAGTGATCCTTCCAGGTCATCTGATTTAAACGGATCCCCGTTAATGGTTGGTTTAATCTTCTTGAACTTGATATATAAGCATCCCAAGCAGAGCAACATGCGATCCAGAGACTGGATTAGGAACAGAGTAACACAAAATGTTGAAAGAGATTGAACGAACGGCGCAATGTAATCAGCCCGAAATTCCAGCCAAGAAACATAAACCAAGTGGAACAATCCTTGGACATCAGAAGTGTGTGGAATGTACAAATCCGGATTTTCAAAATAATGCCAACCTTTCAAGTAAGCAAGAACCTCAAAGGCCAGAATTAACAGGGAAATCACTAAGAAGGCTTTAATAATTTTGAACAACAATTTACCCTTTCCCAGCTTCTCACTAGCTAAATCTACACCTTGTCTGAAAATCAACCTTTTCTTAATAGTTCCAAGAACTGCCCACAAAATGGAAGCAAGCCAAGAAACACACCCAACGGCTCGATTAGCCTTAAGAAGCAAAATCCATCTAACTTGTTTGGCATTCTTGCCCCGGGTCTTCTCGACTGCCTTAAATGCAGCATCAGGGCCATCAATTTCCACAATGGTGAAATTCGGATTCTCCATTTTCACTACCACTGGAGTTCCCTTTGATGAATCTTTAGTCCCCCAGCCAAAAAATGGAGCCATTTTCTTCTTTCTCAACAGATTGATGGTGAATTCACTCTGTAAGGCAGCAAGAGAACAACCCAAAAAGTTCAAGAACGGAACAGAAAGCCAGCAACTCCAATAATTCCAAGAGACCTTTATTGCTCAGATCTCAAATTAGACAATATCCATTAAAGAAACTAGCACTAAAGACCCTGTTTTCCCCCAGTGCAATAACTCCCAAACACGGATAAATAGCTCCAATTTGCACACCAATCACAGCAGAGAATAGACTCCAAAAAGAATAGTTTCTATAAGATTCTTTGCACACCCTTAAACGCTACCTTGAAGAGAACACTAAAAAAGGATGTCACCATTATAGAGAAAGGTATATATCATCTACCATAGCTGTAAAAGTTTTGCAATTTGATATTCATTGCCAAACAGCACAAACAAGCAATTTTCACTTTAACCAATTTTGTTTGATGATATAGGGACTAAAGAATCAGCTTACATCATTTAAGAATACAATAAACCTAAATGTATATTAAAAACACAGTAAAATAGTTTGTCCAAGCAAAATTTGAATTTTGATAATTTTTTAGCTAAACATTCTGCCAACTCAAAATATTTAGAATCATGCTTGGCGACATGTAAACTCATTTGCCAATATATGAAAAAAAACATTTTTCCCACCACAATTTTTGAAAACAAATGAAATGTAAATCATGATGTGAAGTAAAGAACGTATGAAACTATGAATGGCAAAATCCAAATATTTAACTGTGAAATGAAAAGGAATTGACGCATTTGACCTCTCAGTTTCCTGAGAAATCTGGAAGAGGGTCTCAATCAAGTTTTGACTTGTAATCATTGAAGAGAAGACAAGAGAAGAGTTAACATATTTTAATTTAAAAATAAGATAATTGAAGAGAAGAGAAGAGTTAAACTCTTTCTAATGTGAAAATAGTAATGCTGGAATCAGCTTCATTTATTCATTAACATATTTTAAATTAAGAATAATCCTATTCAGCATATTGGTGTTTAATATCGATTTAGGTTGGAGGATTTATATCATTGAATTATAAATTCAATTAAATATAAAGATTTATGATTTATTTATTGGAAGCTATGACATCATGATACCTAAATTAGTGTTCAGTACCATGGTATTAGATAGCATTATTCTTAACTTCATAATTTGTAACAAAAACAATTTTCATGTGTAGTATATTGAGTAACTTTTTTTTTTATTATTAATAAGAAATTTATTACAGCACTAGGGGATTTAAGATAGAATTTATTTTTTTATTTTTTTGGCGCTTTCACCTAATGAAGTAAATGCTGCTAAAACTAAGGGTGAACGCGGTTCGATTTGGGCGATTTATGCTATATTTTCAACTCAAATCATTTTATGCGGGTTAAAATTTTTTCAAACCAAGCCAAACCATTTTTTTTTAACCAAACCATAATTTGCAGTTTGGTTCAATTTTAATTTGCGGTTTACCTTTCGACATTATAGTAATGTATTTAACATAGTTAAATATAAATTTAAACGAGAACTAATAATGTTAAATGTTAAATTACATTCATATTCATTATGAAACCCATGAATAAATTATTTTCAAAGTTGGTTGTTAAAAGATATTAATAGAACAAAAATATCTCTTCTTCATTTTTATTGTCATATAGCGGTTGGTAAATGTAGAGTTACATTATCTTATTATAGTTTGGTTAAAACTCCTTTTCGTTTTGCTAGTGAGATGTAAAGTAGAAGGTAGAGTACTAGTTAAGGAACTTTAACATTTTTACATAATCAATACGCTCCGTCCTTCGTTCTTTTCAAATCACAAACAAGTTCATGGATCATCTAGGCACACAAACAATCATTTTTCTATCCAAATCATAACTTACAAGTGTATAATAAGTTCAAAAAACAAATAAAAGAAAGAACAATGGAAAAATGACTTGAATAAAAATCTAAGACTTATCGAAAGAGAAGAGAGAAAGAGGCGATTTAGGTGAAGATTAGTAGACTAACAGGTAAAGACGGCTGGCTATTTGTTCAGCAGTAATAGACAAACGACAAATGTTAAGGAAATGAGAGCTTATGTTAGGATTTCTGAAACTTTGGACATGATTTACTAACGTAGTTTTATTGAATTATGATTTGGATTGTTGAAAATTGTGTTTTTTTCATTTCATATGATTTTGGAATTTTTAGTTTAGCGTAGATATCGGATGAGGACATATGTTGTGAACCTGTTAAATCATATGTTAATATTGATGAACTTAATTTACTTTCTATGATTATTTCAGTAGGGTGTGTGTAATTTATATTGTTAAATTGGTTTTTTTTTTTTAAATGAAAACTGTAAAATTATTAAGTTAATAAAATTATTTTTTTAATTAAAAAATTTAAAAACGGTTCGGTTTGGTTTTGTGCGATTTTTAAAAATCAAAACATAAACCAAACCATTTTGAAATGGTTTGGTTCGGTTTGACGGAAAAAGAAACCACGGGTCCACGTGGATCCAAAACAACGATTTCAACTCAACGTTTTCGGTTCGGTTTGCGATTGTACGGTTTTTTTGCGCGGCCCTAGCTAAAACTTGTACAAAGTTCTTTAGGAATTGTAGAGAAGTATTGGCCAAAGAATGCAATTAATAAAGGTAATTTGTTTTCCATCCTTGAAGGGGATTAGTTCAGACTTGATTATTATTTTCATATTTAACGGACATTAGGTTTTACTTTTATCATGACAAGCAAGTTGCTGTTCATAAATTCAGCTGCCTGTCGTCTGTTGAGCTTTAAGCGAACGAAAATGCTTATTTGAGCTTTTAAGACTTGGTACAATATTGAAGGGCCGTTCGGCAGGCTTTTGAAAAGTTTTTTTCTACGACTAAGAAGTTGTTTATGAATTTGTTCAGGTCTTTTCTTGAATTGTTTTGTCTAACTATAAGAGTTTTTAGAAAAAAAAAATTGATATAAGATAATTTTGTTAAAAAACTCTTCTACTGAAAGCAGAAACCCGACCAATTAGACCCTTAGTCTTTATGTTACGTCTTAAAAGTTTAACATTTTAAGATAAGTAAAACTTTTTTGTTATTATTTTCATATTTAAAGGACATGAAAATTTAACAAATTCAACGTACCAATATGTTTTCATAATTCTAATATGATTTTTTTTCTTATGAAACTACAAGAAGAGTGAGTGTCAAATTGAAGGGTAGTTGAAGAAGAAGACAAAATTGCAAATGTCATTCTCAATCCACGTTGAATTGTGCTATACTTACAAATATTATTTACAAAGTAGGTTGACAAAATAACATCCACAACAATCATTTTAAATAGAACTTTGTACAAGTAGAATTATTGATCTACATTAGTTAAATCGTCATTCCCACACTTTGTCACTTTATTTGTTCAAGGAATAATCTATCAGAACAGCAAAAATAGTGTCAAAACAAAACTCTAATTAGACAGATGAAGAACAAAATTAAGGTACCACTAATTAATTATTTAACATTATCTTTTAAATTTGTTAATTGACCATGTAGAATTTAAAATTCAAAAGATGTCTTTCTTGTGTGTTAGGGTTATGCCAAAAGGAAAACTTATCATATGCTAAAGTACAGTCCAATATGGCAATCCATAAACACCCCTTTTCCTTTTGGTCCAACTTGTATTTATGGGATATTTTCTATTGTATTATATTAAATGAATTTAGCTATAAATTAAAGCTCCACACGTATATAATATATTTAATAAACGGGCTTTCATTTTCTTATAGGTAATTATTGGACATAAACTGACAACTAAACGGAAAACAAGCAACGGAGTCAGAACTCGAATCCAATGAAAGCCTAATATAATTTCGAAAAAATTTTATAAATATAAAACATAGTAATATGAAAAAGGGAAAATCTCAAATTTTAGTGAGAACCTAGGACCCCACTGGCTCCCACCACCTGCATACAACTGTCCACCTTCCAAGGGTCACATTTTATCGATTCATATATACGATGTTTCTCCATGCACAATACCTACCAGACACGGTCCATACATGCATGCATGTTGTGTATGGGTATTAATATCGATGTTCTCAAAATTGGTTTAAAGATTGACCTAGAAAAATAAAGACTCAAGCGTCAAAATGTTGCAAAATTAGAAAATTAAATCTTGTTTGCCTTTCATTATAATCTCTTTATAATGTAAATGTCACTATTTGTATGGATGTGTTAAGGGTAAAACTCAACGTGTTAAGGTTAATCAAATTCTAATATTAGTGTTCTCAAATAAGTCATTATCTTGCAAATGATAAGGGTGAAATTCCAAATTCATTAAACATGAAAAAAATAATGAACATTTTAAGTGTTGGAGTTGCTCCTCTTAACAAACTCAACATTTTATGGCTGAACTCCAATACTCAATAATAATTTTTTATTTTTATTTTTATTATTTTTTGTTTAGAATCGGATCGATTTTTGGATTGTTCCCCTTTTTCGAAGTCTTGGAATAAGTTATCAGAGAGGTTCTAGGATTGCCTACACGAGGGATTGGACACTATTTTGACAATATTGATAAATACATGTATAAGAGCATATTTCGTGCACAGTACTAATAACAATATACAGAATATTATATGAGACTTTTATATTTTAATCAATCAATTCAACAGAAAAGCAATTGCAATGTTCAAAATTTGCTATAGTTTTCATCAATTAAAACTTGAAATTTGCTTGAATTTATAGTATTCAATATTATTCAAAAGTAGCATCCTAAACATGTATAAGTAAAATCCCAAGAATTTGAAATTTGCTTGAATTTATGTCAACGTGTAGACATTATAGAATTGTTAATGGAATCCAACAATTTGAAATTTGCTATAGTTTTCATCAATTAAAACTTGCTCAAACTCAGCTCATTTTTAAAATTTTATAATGACAAGTGAACGATACAATGTCATGGTTGAATGAGTACATTTACACCCACATTGAAACAAACGTTTCCAACTCATCTCGTAGATCTTGATAACTATGATCAAGCTTTTTGGTTAATTATGTAAGGGTTTACATGAATAAAATGGGTGTCAAACATTCACTATCTCGGATTTCAACATATAGAAAATAATTATGAAATTTACGAGAAATCTATAAATAAAAATAATATTTTTACCCACCATGTATTAGAACTCGAACAAATTAAACATTCAGCACTCATTATTTTAAATAATAAACTGTAGTTATCCTTTTTATTTGGTCAAAGGGAAAGCAAGTGTTGATGGAAAATATGATCTTAAAAAGAAAGAATATTGCTATCTAGCACTATGCTACATTAATATACCTCTCAATTAAAAAAAGAATATGATCATAAAAAGAAAGAAAAATAATATTTGTCTTAAATATACCTCTCGTTTAAAGTTATATTAATATAAATTGGTTTTTAACAGAGTGGTTGGTGCTAAGTAACATTACTCAAAAAACAAAACATGATTAACTTTAATGTAAGGAATTATGTATTGCATTTTGTGCTAAAATATGGTGTTTAATTAACTTTATGGACCATTGATTAGTGGGTGGTGGAAATAATTAATTACACAATGAGTTGGAAAGTCATCTATTATGGTGTATATTTAATGTTGCAAGACTAAAAAGATGAGCAAGGTAACAGGCTAAAGTCTTGAAATGTTCTTCACTATAAGAAATATAGGGGTATCTTTTTCCCTTAAAGGCATATTTGTATTTTAAAATAATAATAATTTTGTGAATATTTTATTTATTTATTATTATTTTTTTAAATGTGTGGTTAAGAAGTTAAAACAATTATGAGTCTACATGCAAAATTATTTTACAAGGAGAATGAATAATTAAAAATAAGTATAAAAAACAAATTTTAAAGAATCTATGTCATCTATGGACTAAGTGAGATTATTTCATACGAAAAAAGGAAGTAATATTATGTCATTGTCTAATGGTCATTATTGTGTAAAAATGATGTTTTGAATAGTATTTTTTATAGAATGTGTGGTTAAAAAGTGATATTTTTTTTTTTGAATTTAAGTGTAAAATATTATATTATTTAAATGTGTCATTGAAAATAAATATAAGAAATAGATTGTTTTGTTTTAAAGGGAGTCAATCAAAAGCTATAATTCTTTATAATCAAAAGAATTAAACTTTTTCCTCTGCACGTTTTATTATTT